ACCTAAAAATTAATAAATAAATAACATACCAAATATCGACACAATGTCCAGCAACTCCTACCTATATACATAGAAAAAAACTAAATTCTTCATTATACGAGAGAAATTATAAGACTCAAGTTATCTTTAGTTAAGAAGAATCCACTTATATACCCTCTCATATAAACATGAAGAACTCTTCTCTCAACATTCTCTATAAATCCTAAAGAATACCCTCGCGAGCTTCTAAAATATCTTATGTAATTTTCTCATTAAAAATCTTGAGACTCGATAAGTATTTATAAGAACAAATCTTAATTTACTAAATAGTTACAATAATCTCTCAACTAGAATTTGACTAACACTTCTTAGATACTTTCGAACCCTAATAATAAGTATAGGGAGGATAGAAAGCAATTTTGAAATGAACATAAAACTATATCTATGGTATTGAATCTCATATAATTTAGTTTTAGTTATTAATATGAAATTTTTGACACATTCATACCCGAGCATCATATCAAGGACAACGTAGAGGGGCTATTCTTGATCATCTAGGCAGTGTTCTCATCTCAAGTTAGATCAAATATACAATAGATTCTTGCTGTGATTACTTAAGAGAGAATTTAAATATTATGTACAATGACGTGATCCTTGTATTCTAGTTATTCTTTTGTGATTGTTGCTAGGGTTTTGGGCAAGAGAATGAGATTTATATATTCATTATTCTTATAGTGGATTATCTTTAGTTTACCCCGTGGTTTTTACCCTTTACATTGGAGGGGTTTTCCACGTAAATCTTAGTGTTCTATTTGATTATGATTCCATTTAATTTCGCTGCGTGTTATGGCCTACTAGTATTTGTTCATATACAAAAGTTTATTTTTCTTTATATCTCATCAATCTCATATTCGATCTATGATTCATAATTCCGTGAAATTATTCTCATAAATTAATTTTCTCATTCGGTATTAAAAAGGTTACGAGCATCCTTTACAAAAACTATGAGATATATCATCCAAAACTTTTTTAATTTTTTAAATTCTATATTATACTTCTCAATCCTTACTAATTTAATTATTAAAAAGATTTTTGTCACTCATTTCCTAAAATCAAACTAGTGATAGACTCAAATTCAAATTAAGATCAGCTCCACAACCCAATATATGGATAACCATAATAAATCTTAATAATTATTTCGCTTAAATCAAATAATAATTTATAAATATAAAGAATATAATATAGCAATAACAGTGACTAAGTACTTATTCTCCTACCAACATTTATTTCAAACCCGATTGACAAGATAAAAAAGATCAATTTTATTTTTGAAAAATAAAGAAAAAATATATCTATCAAATTTATCCCACTCATTCTTGAAACTGATTGATTGTCTTGATGTCCAAACCTATTAATTATCTATTAATAGGATATCTTACCAAAATATAGTTTAGTTTTGGGAAAACAAAGAGCAGGAACATGACTTATTGCCTTCCCAATGTGATTATGGATTTGATAGTTCAATGTAGCATAAAACTATTCTTCATGAACATTCAATTAAAAAGATCATTTAAATAGGATACCTAAAAAAAATGATCTGTGATCATCCCTATCTCTTATTAGAAAAGACAATGGGTAGAGTATACCTGAATGCACAAATTTATTTTGATCAATCAATTACCAATTTTCTTATTTGAATTCATCACAAGTCTGATAAAAAGATTATCGAAATCCAATCTAAAAATTCCAATATACTGTTATCCCTACTCACTTATCTTCTCTTATTTTTCTGTTTTTTTCCTTTTTTATTTCTTGTCCACCTTTGGTGATTTAAATATATTGAATAATTACTGATTTGTGGCCTCTAACTTTGGTAATTTCTTTTTTATTTCTTGTCAATGCTCAGCATGAGAAAGAAATGTGGCACGTAATAAAACATGACTCAAAAAACATCTTGAACGAATATATATGAATCCATGAATAAAAGCATACAAATGTGGCATATTTATAATTATATTTGCTAGGAACGAAATTTTTTTTTTATTGGCTCCAAATTTAACTCTTATAACAAAACAAGAACACTAAGAGTTTACTTTTTTGTCTTCCAAAACTATGACTGTGTGATTTTGGCTTAATTCAGCTCGATTTCAAAGATATGTACAAACTTATAGTTTAAACGATATAAAAAAATAGAGTTAATTACTAGTTTTAGGATTTTACATTTTTTTATCACTATTGTTCGAAGGCGTTAGATGAGATGTATATATCGACTAATTTATAGACTCAAATCCATCATATGAAACTTAAATTGAATGAAAATATATAATACTAATATATAGGTTGATACCATTCGAATTATTTAATCACCGATATTCTAAATGTTTAAGTCATTAGATGAGATATGATCAACTTTTGTATATTCTTAACCTGAAACGATCGAGAATGATAAGTTACTAGGAAAGAACCCAATATATCTATAAGGTATAATAATTTTTAGATTACTCAACCTTTCTGATCTAACTCTAACTCTGTCTCTCTTCCAATATTTCATGTGACATTGTCATAGCCAACTTGTGTTTATTAGAATTACCCTCAAATTATCTAAAAAATAGAATAGAGATAGTTGATCTTTTCTTCCCTAAATTTAAGAAACATAAATTAGAAAATCTCAAAGATACATGTAGGTTGATGCTTGAGTGTAACTTATGATGAGGTATTCATGTATATAATCGATCAATAATAGTGGTAATGGAATATTTTAGCCTTTGGTATTGTGACATTGGTATTAATGCAAACCTCAGATCAATTAATGCTGAGAGAATAAAAGCTTTAATAACCAATTCTTTTGGTTAGGCAAACAAGCAATCTCATGTGAACTTGTGCAAACTCCATATACATTTACTGATTCTATTTTGTGGATGTTTTGCCTACATTTAAATGCCATAAAAAAAATAGTCCAAACACATTGACAAAAATCAAACAGACATAATTGATAGGAAATGAAATAGATATTCCACGAAAAAAATTCTAGCTATTTTTTCTAGCACAAAATCTCCTGCTTTATGCTAAGAAATATGCAGAGAAATTATGCTAGTTTTATACTAATATGTAAGCAAGTAATAGCGAAAAAGTTCCACACAAAAGCAGATATTATTCTTGCAGACAATTTTTACATACGCCAAACATGAGTTTCTTTTAATGCTTCTTTGGGCAAGATTTTAGCTTATAAAAGACATAATTAGCATTCAAGAGAAGTCCACAGTCCAAAATTACAGTCAATGAGGAAGAGACCTACAAACTGCTCTGGAAGGTCTTCCTTCAAAGGCTAGAAATCAGATATCATAGCTCCATGAGCTCTCAGCCATAAATCTTGCGATCCATCACATCGAATGATGCAGAAATCTGCAAGTTATCAATAATTAATCTACATCCTATCTCAAATTATGTGGCTAAAAGTGTTTTCTATAATTCTAACATTCTAAGTTTTTTGAGAAAATACAAAGCACATAATCCTCTCGTTCGTTCGTTCGTTCGTTCATTCAGTCGTAAATTTTGAAAATAATGAAAATAAAGAATACAAACAAAATGAAAATGAGATATTGGATTTAATTCTATTTTATCTATGGTTAGTAAATTTCAAAGTCGCTTACTTTCGCCATGCTTTTTCATTTTACTAGTACACTTAGGAATGGCCATAAATAAGATATCTGTGAATTCTATCTCTTAATTTGAGTATCTATCTAATTATTTAAATCTATGCCAAATTAGATATTACATATACTAAATGGATCAAATAGCCATATAATATCTTAGAAAAACCTTATTAGTCATCTTCTTAAGAATGATGGGTATAATATCCACAAATTACTTCTTACACAAACCCAAACCCAACTAATCACTCAAGTAGTTGTCTATTTATATCCATATGAAATTTGATTAAGAGATACCTAAAGCTAACTTAAAAGTATGATATGAGCCAAAGCTATCTCTACATATCATCGATGCTCAAAACAAGGTTGATCCTTTACGTCTAAGTAGTTTTACTTCAAATTTTCTTGATCCCAACCTTGTTTCAAGTAGCTTTATTTCAATGTCATGATGTTGATTCTCGTTTACCTTCACAAATTTGTGTTTCGTTTCAAGTTTTACTATCAAAGGATACTTGGAAAAGATTTAAGATGAACCACTGACTACATGGATGGTGGATAGATTTATCCAAACTCATTTAGATCTTCACATTGGAAGGTTCTTAATTGGGTACAAAACGTGTGGTATTGCCAACGTCAAAGGACCTTAGTTAAAAGAGAGCAATAATGATACAGAATCCCGGTCAAGATTACCCGTTGACTATTTTCTTGATGGTGTGTCTCAATCGTCACTCCGTTTGGTCCCACCGTCCATAATAGTCAACTGCGCGTCAGCCGCCGCCGGTCGCGACGAGACGCCACTCTCTCAACTAGAAGGTCGTTTACGCCTCTCCAACATCTGGGATGCTCCAGCTCTATTATGATCCGTTCGATCGAGATCCAACGGTTGCAGTCCGTTCCTAATGACCTAAGTCCCTATCCTTCCGGATCACCAGTCTTTACCGAGCCACCAATCGGGGGAAGGAGCGGTTTCTATTGGCAAGAAGCCATGGCCCGAAGCCGACTTCGCTGACCGACCGACTAGGAGTAGACTTTTCCTGATTGGTAACACCGAAAGGACACGAGTATCGTGCCCATTGCCCCGCCCAGACTCCCGCTTCATCCGTACATAAATTCCTTCTCCACTCACCCACCTGACTCCTGATTGGAGGTTAGCGTATGACCAACACCCGGACCCACCATTGACCCGGTCAGCCATTCCAATCACACGGCAGGTATCTTTTAATGCGAGCGCTGTTCATTTCTTGCGGAAGAGGGAAAACTCCGAGTGTAAAAAATTACTGAAATATCATTTTCTTCGTCTTCCTCCTCAAACTTCTCTTAAATTGCATCATTTCCCCCCCCCTTACCCCACGACACCATATGCATATAAATATCCTCACCACTTCTACACTCCCATCTCAACTCCCATCTCTCTTTAGTTCTCCACAGCTTGAAATGTCTTACAAGGTGATGGCTGCATGCGTGCAGAGCTGCCGCACCAAATCCGCCAGTATCAAACCCATCTCCTTCCACCTCAATGGTTCCCTCGTCGGCGGCCCTAGTCTCTGCCAGTTGATGGTCGACGACGTCTGGTGCACCATCCAGGAAGAGGCACGGACCGAGGCCGAGGAGGAGCCCTTCCTCCGCAAACACTACTACGACCTCGTCCTCTGTCATGCAACTCTTGAGTCCGCTCTCTCGGCCCACCTCGCCAGCAAGCTGGCCGTCCCCACCGTCCTACCCAGCTGCGCCCTCCAGGAGCTAATCTCATCGGTTCTCACGAAGGATCCGAACATCCGGCGGGCTCTCCGCTGTGACCTACGCGCCGCCAAGGGCCGCGACCCGGCCTGTGCCAAGATGGCGCACTGCTTCCTCTACTACAAGGGTTTTCAGGCCTTACAGGTACATCGAGTTGCCCACCGGCTATGGACTGAGGGTCGTCGGGCCACGGCACTGTTGTTGCAGAGCCGCACCTCAGAAGTCCTCGCAGTGGATATCCACCCGGGGGCTAGAATTGGTGCTGGGGTGCTGCTCGAACATGCCACCGGGGTAGTGATCGGTGAGACAACGGTGGTCGGGGACGACGTCTCGATCCTGCACGGGGTCACATTGGGAGGCACCGGGAAGGAGGGCGGTGACCGGCACCCGAAGATCGGCGACGGAGTGCTCCTCGGTGCCGGGACAAAGATCCTGGGCAATGTGAGGATCGGGGAGGGGACCAAGATAGGGGCGGGGTCGGTGGTGCTGAAGGTAGTACCGCCGAGGACGACGGCGGTGGGCAACCCAGCGACTTTGGTCAATGGCAAGGAGAACCGGACCGGACACATTGTAGACCACACGTCGTGTTCGAATTATGCTAACTAATTAATGCCATCTTTCATTATGATGATGTTTAAGTGCATTGACGACGTCTGTTACCATTATGATCTTTTATCTTAATTTTTTCATTAAAAAAATATTCAGTGAGCAACATAAAAAAAAAATATTTTAGGTTTTTTTTTTTCCATGACAAAGTGTTTTGTTCCGGTAGACAATGACCGAAGCATAAGGCAGCACCTTCTTTATTATCCGAGAGCTCCATCTCTATCATCAAGAGGTTCTAAGGTGTTGAGATGATTAACGTTTCATGTCACTCATTATAGTCATCATAACATATCAAAACGATTCAAAAACTGATCATTTTTTATCGTGTGTACTAAGCTATCGAGCGAAGCAAGGGGCAACACCTTTCTTGTTATTCAAAAATCCTATCCAACGTTTGTGTCACTAGGGGATTCCAAGGTACTAAGATTGTTAATGTTTCACGTGTTGTGACGATCATGCGATATATGTGACCTCACGTGTTGTGACGATCATGTGATATAATGTTTCACATGTTGGAACAAATCATGTGATATATATATATATATATATATATATATATAATAGAAAAATATTTACCTTCATTGAGAACTCAGACAAATGACATCGTAATCCAAAAAAAAATAAAACAGAACTCTACATGAGGAATATTTCTCTAATCATTCATCGTTAGAAAATATTGACCATAGAAGTATGATTAACAAGATTTGACTCTTCTTTTTCTTCTCTACTTATTTCATTTCCACTTGATCTCAATGTCGGTTGGCACCATAAATGTTATGAAATATCTCATACGGGACCAAAGACTAACAGCGCATGTCAGACTCGAATTGAGTTGGGATGATATCACCAACATCCATTCCCAACAAAAAAGATTGAAAAAGTTCTAGAAATACACTTTAGATTAAATCAACTAAATCGATAGCAAATACTATATACCTCATAAGTAAGTTTCTCAATGAAACAATTGACACGCAAATACATCTTTGACCTTGCTATTTATTGTGTCTTCTTACATGGCTTGAGAACTACAGAAGGAAGGCATGTAGTGCAAGGACACATTCTTGTTCTGTAGGGCTGCTATTTTTATTTGTGTGAGATGAAATGGACCGAAACAGTCTCAGTTCTTGGAAACACGACTGTGGGGTCCGAGACATTCTTCTTAAAAGACTCTAGTCTTTTTCTCTCTTCTTCTACTTCTAAAACGAAGAATCCAAGTCAAAGTTTGCATGTGAGACCAAGGAATCTCTCATTTAAGATACCCCTCATTTATTTTAATCTTTAATGGAAGGAGATGAGTCTCAATCCCTTGTTTCTAAAGATGAAGAAAACAAAATAATGGGAGTAGAAGAAGAACAACCGCGAAGTATTCCTCGTCATGAAGTTATTTGATCTCGCAATAAAAAAGGGAAAATAAAATTCAATTCTAAGAATTTGGACCTGAGACATGAAGTTATTTGATCCAACAACGACACATTTCATTAAAAAGTCACTAGTATGTACATCGAGTATGCGGGTGGGTAAAATGTTGGCACACACCAAGATTTAGAAGAGCAATATGAATTCCTCTTTGAGGATCGTTGTATCATCAATTTATATAGATACAAGATAAGATGTGAGAAGAAGCATCAATGGAGTCCTGTGACGGACAGAAGGACATATGATTCTAACTTATTATTCCGTTTGCAATAGATGAGACCTTGCAAACCCCAGCGGACGTCATGAATGGCACATCCTTGTAGCAGGCTACCAGCTCAGCATCTGTATGCATGTCCAACTGTACCTTCTCCCAGACCTTGCTCTTGGCACTAATTATGTTGTCGGGCTCACCAGAGTATCCGGAGAAGGTTACTCGCTCACCAACAGCAGCTGATGCAGGTGGATCGACCATTTCTACCTGTAGTTCAATTATCATGTTAATATATCATAGATAACCTCTCGTACAATTAGCTGTACCATTAGCTGAACCGGAGGCTTTCACATCAAATTAATCAAGCTATAAAGAACTCATTTAAAATTGCAAGGCGAAAAAAAAAGGGGAGGATAAGAGGACATCCCAGGACATTGTAGAATCCATCATAAAACAATATTTCGCTTACAAATAAAATCATCTCTTTGTCCCCTGTATTTTATTCTTACAGGAAGATGGAACACAAATAAGGAGGAATAAAAAGAAGAAAGAAGAGGAAGAAGGAAGGAGGAGAGGAGGAGGAAGATGAGGAGGTAAAGGATAAGGAGACAATGGAGAAGAAGAGGAGCATAAATTCTGGAAAAGAGGGTGACGGTGAGCCATGGGTGGCATCAAATGATGGCGCAAGGAGACAGAGAGGGTTCACGATTTGTGAGACCTAAAGGTTCGGCCAATCGAGGCTTTAAAAGATCCTTTTTTTTTAAGACTGGATCGGATTGGATTGCATCATCGGAAATGTGGTGGTTCACATATTGATTAATGCGTGGATTAGTAAATAATGATCGGTATAGACTGACTTAGGAGAAATTAAATTTCTTGATCTATACTCTATAATTTCTTCCCATGATCCAAAAACTCTGACAAATAGCTTCTAGGTGCTTAAATACATGCTGTTGTGTCGTCAAACTAATTATCATATAAAAATTTAGAAAGCCAAATTAAGGATCCAATGTTTTTTAACCAATGTTTGTTGTACCACCAGAGTCAGTATGGTATGGATGGTATGTACTTGTCCGACTCGTCACAGAGAAACGGTTCGCCCGCGTCCCCATCGATATGCCTCGACGTACAATGTGTTGGTACACAGGTATGTACCATACCGACAAATCTTTGAGATGGGTCCGATACCCGAAATGGTAAACCCAATATTTAACCATGTTTTATCCAAAAGTATCAAGTGTGCTCAACAGAAAATATCCATATGTTCCATCCATCAGATTTATGCTGACTAAATCTTCACGTTTGATGTTCTCTTTCCTTTTCTTTTCTATAAACGACTGAGGTACAATAGATGCTCACAATGAATATTCACAATGAAAACCATGTAGTTATTTGTAATAATACATATTAAAAAAAATCTAATCTTAAATTTTTGGCTTGGATCCTTCAAATAAATTGATTACCGTTACCCATGTAGGCATCGTCATAGATCCACTACAGAAAGTTTGAACATAATTTCTGAGCATCATGCAGTTTAATGCAGTAAATTCACCAAATGTGGAGATATTACTGAGCAAGCCTAAGCCTTTTAGTAATCTTAGAGAAGCTTTTATCCACTATCTGATGTTTTGCTCCAAGTAAAATAATCATATTTGACAGTAGTTTTCTTATTCTCAACTTGCCATAGTCATCTCAACAATGCAAAAGAAGATCCTACATGTAAAATATGCAATTAAATTAACTTTTGCCTTCCAGAGGAAGGAACTACAAGGGTAAATATTTTAACACAATTAAACTTAAGTCTCCAGACATGAAACAACTTACAAACATGTCCCTATTCCCTACTTCAACAAGACTACTGATTTGTATTGTTTCAGATGATAATCACTTAGCATTTGAGCAGTATTGTTATTGTATCCTCTAAATTGTTTGCAAACAAAGAATAAGAGTACTCATGAAGACACAAACATCATCTACACAACAGAAAACCTAAGAAACAGATTTCAGGAGCAAAAAAATTCACATTGCATATCTCTCTTGGAAGCCAAATTTACTACTGCAAGATATAGGAAGAAGAGAATTAACAACTAAAGCATGGGGAGCATCATGACTTACTTTGGAATGGTCATCACTGGATGCAGCCAAGACCATTGCATGAGACTTAATGCCCCGCATTGTTGCTGGTTTCAGATTACAGAGAACACAAACCTTCCGGTTCTGTAGTTCAGTGGTTGCAGTAGGTGAAAGCTTAAAAAATTAGTATAAAGGAAAAACTATCTTTAATCTGAATAAATGTGAGGAAAAAAGAAGACCTGCATTTCTTCAAGAGGAATGTACTTGACAAGTCCGCTAACAACTGTTCTAGTTGATTCCTCACCCACATCAATTTCTTCCACGTAAAGGGCGTCAGCATCCGGATGCTTCTGAACTTTCTTGATGAGACCCACACGGATGTCAAGTTTTGTAATTGGTATCTCTGTTTCGGTAGGCTTTGCTTTTGGACTGCCTTCTGGCTTGCACTGTTGTTTCTTTGCATTGGCTTCTGCAAAGATAACAAATGAAATTTGACAAGATGTCTCTGCTCAGGAGAGTTTGCCAACAATGTTTCATTTGCAAGTAAAGTTTGGTTGAGCTGTCTGTGACAGCACCCATGAATAACTGATTCATCTTAGTTGTCAATTTGTAGTATTGCTAGGCTTTATCATTCGAAACTTTCATTCAGATATATCAAACCTATTGCAAGAAAATATAAACATCCGTCAAGAGCATACCATTTTTTAACATCAATAAAAGGGCAATTATCTGGTATACATGTATTGTCATACACCAGGTACAGATTCCTATCGGAAATGTACACAACAAAACATATTCAGTTGTTAAAATACTATAACATTTATGCAAAAAATTATTCAATTATTTCCTTTTTCATAACTACAATTACCTGGTTATGCAGTAGCCCAACTATAAATATCATTTTTACTGAACCTTAGACTGGCATATACTACTGGCTTCCACCACAAATTATTATAGGAAAGAAACTACAAAATAATGAATGAAGTTCACATTTACTATAGTGAAATTTTGAATCTTGTTCTCATTAAGATTTTAAATCTTGATCAGATACTAGTTTCATTATCCACCAGATCAATACCATGCCAGTGTATCGGATGCTATACCGACCCATAACTCCAGGTTTCAGTTGAAGAAAAATTAAAAATTTAAATACCAAATGGTACTAGGTCCACATTAACTCCAGGTTTCAGTTGAAGAAAAATTAAAAATTTTAAATACCAAATGGTACTAGGTCCACATTCCCACCACACCCACCAGAATTTAAAATCATGGTTCCCATCAAGGATTATGAGCCCCCAACATAGAAGACCTTTACAAATCTTCACTTGCAACATCAAAGGTTGTATTTGTTCAAAGTATTTGAAATCATAATAAACTTTTTGCAGCACTGTTGACATCACTTTCGAATGGAAAAGTACACATAATCGAATGGAAATGTTCCTAAACATTTCCCTTGTTGTCATTACTATAATAGTTAACTATGTTTTTTCCAACAGAACGTAAATGAGTAAATGAGTTACCTCAATTTGAGAAAAAGATAAGTTTCATGCAACATGGACTAGGAGTCTTGCTACCTGTTATGTTTGTGCTCTTTAGCTGCTCGGTTATCTTTTTAGCATCAGCTTCTGCTTTCACCTTTCTGTCAGCTTGACTACCAGCAAATCTCATCCTAAAGTACTCCACATCTTCATCTTTCTGGATTGCAATATTAAATAGTTGAATGGAGTAGATAACCAAAAATTTAATAGTAGAGATGAACAAACACGAGGAAGTACCATGCACAAGTACTACATACCAGTTCCTTAAATAGTGGTTCGGGTTTCGATATACTGTGTCCAGATGGTAAAAAATTCCAAGGTTTCTTTTTGTCATCTGTTTCTCCTTTCTCGTTACAGAATGAGAGAGATGTTTTTGGTGATAAATTTAGCTGCCTTAGCACCTACATGTTGCAAGGAAAAGTAATATAAATCCAATTGATCACACAAATCTGAACAAGTTTGATCTGCAGAGGAGACTTATGAAACTTATATGTTGCAAAAAAATGAAAAATGAAATAGTGGGTCTTAAAAAAATTACTTCAATAGAGAAAGAAGGCATAAAGGGTTCCAACAAAGTTGCAAGAAGGTAGACAAGACCAGCTGATGTCTTCATCACAATGGCACAAGAAGATGGGTCTTCTTTGTAAAGCTTCCAAAATTGGCTCTCCTATATGGTATAAAGTCATAGAAGTTCCATAGTCACATCAATAAGTATCTGCATAGTAGGAAAAGAAAAAGAAAAAGAAAAAGAATATGAGAAGTAACGTACCTGTAGATATGCATTACCTTCACTAGATATGCTCATTGCAGTCCTCAAGCCTTGCTTTAGTTTTACCTGTCATATAGCAGAACATGTTTTTTATCAATATTAATTTCAGCCATTAGAACCAATCACCAGCACAAACTGACACATCTGACGGTTTCATAATCTAATTGGTGAACAAAAGAAAAACATAATCACCTTTTCCATGGCATCAAGATATTGGTCAACCAATTTACCAACTTTCTCTCCTAAATCTTTTGTCAAGTTATGTGACTCTGCATCAGGAGCATCAGGAACAATAGAGTTATATCCTGCTCCTGCAGAGAAAGACAATTAACCAGAAAATACTATACATTAGTGTTACATAATAGTTGATGCTACAACAAACACTACCCAGTATTTGTGAACTATTTTAGGCGTGGACATGTAGCGCATACGTAGTGCAGCATTTGAATGCTTAACATAATTAAAATTTAAGGTTGCACACAAATGATTGGCAATGATCCCCATCAGAAATGACGACATCATAAACGAGAAACCACAAAGAATGTTGAAATGTCATAGGTAGCATTTACAGTACAAAAGTAAGTTGCAGAAACTTTACAAATGAATAAGAACAGTGATATATTCAGTTCCAGCCAGGGTAGCCACTAAAACTATTGGTAATGATAGTTATTTTAGAGCACTGAGGAGCAAGTAGTAACATAGAATACGATTCAGCAGCATCCAAACGAGCAGTTGCAAAGTTTAGTAGAGAAATCTGAATTTGGTGGCAATATCAAGCAGGTCTCGACAGCATAATCTATGCCAGAATAGAGGTAGAAGCTTTAAGCAACAAACTGATGTCAACTACAAGAAAAACTTTAACTTGAGGATACAAATGATTATGATTACTAGTATAATCATGGGAAATGGGCTACATATACTAACTTAAGCACTTTAACAAATTTTCTTTGAAATGTACAACTCACAAATTCTTGGCATGTCTGATGAGATATGTTTCAAGTCCCAACCATGATCTTTGATGCTGGTACTTGCATTGTTCATATGAATCATATATTTTCACAAATTCAGAGGGAATGGCTCACTTGAAAAACTATTATGTGCGATTGTCTTAGTTATGATTGTAAGCAATGAAACACAATTTACTATTCTTCACATCTAGATATTCTAATTCATGGCTTTTTCATTAGTGGTTCTTCCACCCACACATGCAATCTTCTAGCATCAAGCCATCAACCAACTAACTACAGTGAATGAACTCCTGTCTTGGGTGCAAGACATTTGCCAAAGCAATGGGCTACTATGTGAGCCTTTCTATGTTCAGCCCTGCCACATCAATGGAGAGAACCTTTTGCATGGGCTTTCATAGTCTATCCTCCACCAGGGTCTGCAGTACCGAACTGTACCGCCCGGTATGGGCGGTATGTACCGGTCTGACAGGTTGCCGGTACGCGGACCGCCTGTTACCGGTCTGAGTGCACTGTAGCAGTGCACTGTAACACTGTAGTAGTGCACTGTAACACTGTAGCAGTGCTCGGCACACCTGGGTGTACCGCTCGATATACCATACCGTACCGGTACCGAGCCCAGGTTGAAATACCGGTACGATAGGGTATTGCGAACCTTGTCCTCCACAATCTGGGGACATCCTTTTTAATGATGGCTCCACCTGGGATATCCCCACTGCTCTGGCGCTAGATTTTCAAAGAGGATTGACCACTAGATTTTTTCTTTTTACCCAAAGGATTGTTGAATACTTTGAATATTATACTAAAAATGTTGGGAGCCTTTAGTATAGTTGGCAACTCAGGTAAAGGACCTAAACAAGTGAACAAGTATATTTCCTTGGCTTGGTTCCATGATTTATGATACCATAGCAGTTGGTAGATTAGCTCATCAAAAATGAAAAAGCTCCATTAACTTGTTAGTTGGTGTTTTGGTATTATTGTAAGAATTTAGATTTGCAAAACTTAATCAGAACAAACACTATCAGAAAAGCCAAGAGAAGTCATCCAGAACAAGGTTGTTCTTTGTTGCTTGCTATATCAGAAGGGGTGAATTGAACAATGTAGACCTTTATATATGTCATTTCTCATGAACATTTCAAATGTATATCAAAATATAAGTGGGAACCCTCAAGAAGTTGTTCAAACTTTCAGCTTAGGCACAAGCATACATGATATTTGTATATCAATACAAATGATGCATGTCAGCTTAACAAAGCACCCGTATTTCAACACAAGGATTCTTGTAGCAATAGGCACAAGTATCATGTATTTTATGCTAGAAAGGTATATACAAGCATCATTTGGACTTGTGCCTTCACATGCATTTCCCAATTTTTGGCATTGTTAATCATCATAAGGAAAGCCACACTGTACATCATTCAATGGTACCAAAAGGCATCAGGATATGCCCTTGTGCCATAAATGACTATTCTTTTCCAAGAATACTTTAAACAGACCTTTTATAAGGAACTAGAGCTTATTACTGATGACGTGTCTCACGCATGTTAAACTATGTCCTTGATGTTTGTTCCACGGTAGTTCTTGGTCTAGTGTGACCTAATAAATGCTACGATGGTGTACCTCCTGTACACTAACAAGATTATCTCAGGTATTGTAATATTGTAACCATATTAATGAATATGGCATTTTGCCATTTTACAGATATCCTTTTGCTATGGGACCTCAATTATAAATTGTTGCAACAATAATGAAGCTCTCCTGTATTATACCTTTAAATTGAGCTGGTTGAGGTAAAAGCAAGCCCTTAACATTTCTTTTACCAAGAATATGGTTGTCTATATATTTATTTTGGATTTTGGGCTATGCTAAGAAGAGAGTGACAATCAAATGTGAGCTTATTTTTTTATATAGACACAAATCCTTAAGAAAGACAACTATGTGCTTCATTCATTTATTTTCTATAGATTTGATCGCAAGAGCATTCAAATCTTTGATTATTTCAAGGTTTTCTTATATCTCTCTTTACATCTCCTCAGACCATTAGTATTAGTAACTCACCTATCTAATTAATAACCATAGTATTAGCGAACTGTCCTCTACCAGGCAATACTAGTGTTTTGACTAGTATCGACTGGTACCGAGACGTACCGATCGGTACCGCCCCGGATTTTGACCATTACCGAAGCATACCGATCGGTACGCCCTGGCATGGTAGGTGAAGGTATTTTTAAGGTTTTATGATGTACCAACACACCAACGGTATATATCGGTACGTACCGTACCGAGCAAAGCTCGGTACGCCGATACGGACCGGTATTAAAAACCTTGATGCACAGTAGATGTAATGTCTAAATTAATATATTATATGCAATGTGCATGAAATGAAATAAAGTATTCCTTTATTGCCATACTTATTGGTTAATGCTATTAACTCGACTTTGTAGCAACATTTTCTATCCTGGGGACCAGCCTTAACGAGTATATTTTGTACCATTAAAGTAAAGGCTCTACTGGGCAAGATATACAAGACATAGCTACTCAGACTGAAAATACCCAAACAAATCATTAATGACCTCAGACAGGTAGAACTTCCAACTGGTCATATAAAAATTGTACCAAAGCATCCAATCACATAATAGTATCAAATAAATTAGTATTATAACAAACAAAATAAAGGCCAAATATATGCCAATATGTAAGGTATTCTTTAACAATACATACTGATCATTGATCTTTGAATATATATACAGATGAAGCTCCATCATATAGAAGATATGCTGTTTAAGAATGATTTTGTAACTAAATGTAAAAGGATGCAGTAATATCTCAGGTACTGCAACTACAGCGATTTCTAACATCATCAACATCTAACCTTCTGGTTTGGCAATAAAGCTCAATACACGATTCACAAAATTGCCCAAGTTATTCAGCAGCTCACTATTCAGCTTAGCCTGTAAGTCTGACCATGTAAATAAAGTGTCCGATACCTAATTTGTTAAAGCAATTGGACTTAGTGTTCAAGTACAAAGAGCTAAAATGAGAAATTTGATATGCCTGATAAAATATAACTAAACTTCTTCCTTTAAACTCACCTCAGGTCTATTTGTAAGCAAGTAGTATCTCCACACTTCTGTGGGAATATTTGTATCCTTTGCATCATTACCAAAAACTCCAACACCCTTACTTTTAGAAAATTTTCCTGCCAAACAAAGAAGCAACATGAACACATATGAAAAAGGAAAGGAAAATCTCATATATTAGCTGCCATTATACTGTTTTAAAAAATCAGTTTAAACTTTAAAGTACATCATAATAAACTCTTGTTAGATTTTATATATGTAGGGTCCTTTTCTAAGGACTTAAGCTTTTGGATTAGTAATAATCCAATCAAAATCTTTAACATGGTATCGAAGTAGGTTGTGTGTTCGAATTCAATATCTTCCCCTATTTTTTTCATTCAGTGCTTAATTAATGTTGGTTTAATATTCTTTTTCCTATTTTGCTAGTACCACGCAATTGGGTTCAATTTTACATGTCATGCAAGCCCGGTTTGCAACAAAAGGATGACTTTAGAGTTTATGAATATGTTGGGTCCTTTCTTAATAGCTTAAGTTTTTGAATTTTATTCTAACCCAGTTTGCACAAAAAGAAGCAATTAGATTTTATTCTGAATTTCCAAGCATTCACTAAAGGGGGCATGATATGCTGGAACTATTGCACCTTGGACAACTATGTCATTCAAATTTGTTGGACCTCAAGCAACTACACAGTGCTCTGGATCTTGGTTGCAGTTAAACAGTAAAAGACGCCATTACATTCCACAAGCATGGTCCATCATATCCATGCAACGGCACCATGTGTCACAAGTCATGGGTATGTTGTTAAGGGTGATGGTGCTCCTTTGCAGATATGGTAACCCAAGCAAACATGGAAGACAACAAGCCACCAGAGAGCTCCATGCCTGTTGAAGTGCTAAATATAAACCAAGTATCTACTTCTCTTTAATCTTCTTGTCATTTGGAAGTCAATTCATCCTTCAAGTTCTGATTTTTCTTCCATCATGAAGTCCTTGAACCAGAGAGTTTATTTTTGATGTAAATATCCTTGATGGAGGACATCAAATGAAGCAGCTAGTGCTACCTTATTAGTTAGTTTGTTCACTTTGGACTGACAAGTAGTCAATGGAATGGAGGAATAGGTTGGAAGACCTGTAGGACAATATGACTAGAAGAACAGACAATTAAAATTCTGTCATTTTGCTAGCAAGCAAAATGATGATCAAATAATATTATGCTTGTATATGAATTAAAGCATCAAACCAAACAAGAATTGTGACATATTTCACCCTCAATCAACAAAATATCTTCAATGCATTGATATTCAAATTGGCACAAATTGGTCCATGTCCAAACTGCACCATGGATTGGGACAGTTCAAATATGCTTTAATATGTTTTAATATGGTTCAAAACAAATTTCAGGTTCAGTTGTAGGTAGCCGTGAAATTGTCATGGTCATATTAGAAAAGTTCTTTTATGTGGCAACAACACCAAGGGAAAAAAATTATAATAAATTTCTATTGCAAGATTAATCAAACAGAGGCATCAGAGGAAATCATCTTATGATTCCTGGGTATACAACAACATGAACAAGCCATAATATCTCAACTATTTGGGGTCAGCTACATGCAACTCTTCCCACCATTGAGCAAAATATAAATGCCTCAGAATTTATGGTTTCTTTGCCTTTTTCTTTTTCTGTTTTTTCTTCCTTTCTCTCTTCTATTTGTCTTTTCTTTCTTTTTGTTCTTTGGCACAACTTTGTCCACATAGAGTGGCAAATAGTATTTGTGCCAATGCATGAATTAACCTGACTGCCACCCAGTCTATATGGGCATCCAAATGGGAATTCTTGGTTGAAAGGATGATACTAAATTTTACATGTTCATGACAAATATAGAATGCAAAATACATCCAAAGGTTGGACAACAATACCTGTTTCATAATTTAAATACTCCGTGACACTTATGGTCTTCATCATCGTCCACTTTTCACCGGTTCCAATCAGTGTGGAAGGAAACATTACCTGGAAACAAACATCAATATCATGAACATTTAAGAGGAAAAATAGATAAATACAAATAAGTATAAACAAGTTGTCAAAGGCTATAATAGCTGGAATAAATGGCTGGTGCAAATTACCAAAGGTATTTATGAGAATAACTGCATATATATGCAAATGCCATTGCATGACATATGCTAGTGAGGTAATACCACCGTATGTGTTTTTAGCCTGTCTCATGCCCATTTATGTAACTAGGCACATAAGTATGCATGTACAAGGCACTACTGGCTGAGTTAGCTATCCCACTTCAATAAAATGACATATCACAACTTGAAAACCCAAAAATACAACAAGTTTTAGTAAAGATGAAGGGAAAGCTTTTTAGAATCCCGGACCCATATACATTGCTTGAAAGCTCATTTATTTGAAAGTGACCACATTAGGCATTGCCTTTGATGTAGGAGTGGTAAGTAAGTTTATGCAGACTCCGAGAGAAAAAGATTGCAATATCTTTAGATCTTTCAAAAGAGCATTTTAAAGCAGCTGATAAGATTGATATAACTGCATTTATGCATGCTGATTGGGCTCGAGATTATCTTGAATTCAGGATGAATGGAATGTAGCTCTTTAGAAGGGAACGAGCGAAATAAAAGTAGATAGTGCGGAGACCTAGTTCAGTTGAGGCTTGACTCATTAGAGGCAACCAAGGGAGATCGACTGAAAGGTTAGGGTAGATGACCAATGAAAACAGATGTGATGACTGATGAATTCACTACTACAATACAGTATTGAACTAAACAAGGATTGCAATGTGGCCAGCAGGATACCTTGATGGACATGGGTGAATGCATGTAAGTAGATAACACCCAGATAAGCAACACAGTATACATAAAAGTAAGCTCTTGATGACAAAACTAACACAATAAAAAATATGTGCAAAATAAGGTATTGGTTACAGAAAGCACTTAAAATCAAATAATGTAATGTAGTTTTGCCATGTAAGAGGGTCAGTCAGTAATTACAATCAAAGAAATAATACAGTTTACCGTGTGAAATGGCACGTTATCCTTGCCCATGAACTGATACAACTCCACATTTTCAGGGTTCTTCCACCATTTCTCCCACTCGAGAGTGTAGCATGCAGTGATTGAGATATACCCAATTGGGGCATCGAACCACACATAGAATACCTAGACAGGTGAATATCAATCAATTTTAAAAGTTGAACATTACTTAAAAGATAATCCAACAATCATTCAAACATCTGGAAGCATAAGCAAAATATGATCCATTAACAAGGGACCAGTCTAATCTGCAAGCATAATTAAGCCTGAATCAACATATGTAATTTGTTAAACCTTGTCTTTATACTTTTCATGTGGCACAGGAACTCCCCATTTTAGATCTCTTGTAATACAGCGAGGTTTCAGGCCTTCCTTCAGCCATGCTTGTGTTGCTTGAATTGCATTTTGGCTCCAAGATCCAGTTATCGACATACTGTCAATATAGTCTTCCAATTTTTTCCTCAGCAAGGGTAGCTCTAGAAACAAATGGTCTGTGTCACATATGTGTGGAGTCCTTTGGCATACCTGAAGAGTCAGCAACCTTGGGTCAAAATACACCAGAGCATAATTTAATATTTATTTACTCAAGGATTTAAGACAAAGAGACTTGCACATAAAGATCATGAAAATGTAATTTACCTTGCACTTGGGATCTATCAGTTCAGTTGGATTTAACAATTTTCCACATTTTTCACACTGATCGCCACGTGCAGATTCATAATTGCAATCCAATGTAGGGCATGTTCCCTCCACAAGCCGATCAGCTAAGAAGCGTTGGCATGTATCACAATAGAGCTGCATATAATTTCCAAACAATTTAACAAACAGCAAGGCAAAACAGCCTTATGTCAAGAAGGAACTTATTTGATTCAATCAACAATCGTACAAAAGGAAAGAAATACCTGGAGCATGGTTTTTTCAGATAGCCAATTATTCTCCAACAATTTGTGAAAAATTGATTGGCAGATTTCAGTCTGCTGTGGAGAGGATGTGCGTCCAAACTCATCAAAGCTTATGTCAAACCACTTATAGACCTCCTTATGAATTTCATGGTACCTAAATTATGAACAAAAGGCATTTGTAAAAACACAAGAAATCTTAGATTAGGGAAGCAACCTAATTCACCACTAATTTCCTATGCTTTGCATGAGAAAGAATATGATAATATCACCGAAGTTCTACATATATATGAATGGAGAAATTTGATTGTCCATTAGCAAAAAGGACTAAGAAAAGATATCTTTCGTGGGCACAAAGATTTAGCAATAGTGATTTCAAACTTAAAAACCAAATTTGATGCAACTAACTTTATGTTTATACCATAAAAAGTTGGTGAAAGTACACAAGCTTAAATTGGTAAGAACCTCATCTAAGAAACTTATAATCATCACAAGCTTAATAAATTGTTTTTATTAAACTGGAAAAACAAAAAGGCCTACTGAAAGCAGAGTAGAACAGAGCTTATCAGGGAGGTACAAACTTGTCACAGATTTCCTTGGGAGAGCAATTCTCCTCCATAGCCTTTGTCTCCGTGGCGGTTCCATACTCATCCGTCCCACAGATATAAATCGTATTATAGCCCCGCAACCGGCAATATCGAGCAAACACATCCGCACTCAAAACGCCTTTGCCCAAAATGCAAGAAAAGGTCTCATTTTCATCCTCACAACGCCGAAACAATCAACAAAATTTCATTTTTATGATGAAAAGCAACAAAACAAAGAACTGATAGGGAAATTACACCCAATGATATTTCCAAGGTGGGGGACGTTGTTGACGTAAGGGAGGGCGCTGGTGATGAGGATGTTACGGCGGCCAGGGACCGGAAGCTTGGGGGAATTCTCCGCCGGTGTGTCCTCCATCGCTAATTAGATCGAACGAGGTTTCGTCGACGTTTGTGTACGGGGCTCGCACCATGTGCCGGCACTCAGCCGGAAGTCAAGGAAGAGGCTATAGGAGGAGTGCGGATTCCCTACAGGGAATCTTGTGGGGTGAGCTCCCCAACATATGAGCCGTCCACGACACAGACTTTCAACCATTGGATTCGCTTTAAGATGCGATAAAATACAATCCAACGGCGATTCGATGGTAATGTTTTGGTGATATCCTGACGTTGAAGGCATGCGTCTCGCATCCGATTCGTGGGCGCATCTGGTGGGACCCACAGGGACGCGCACGAGCACCACGACGCTTTTTAAGTTACCCGCATGAATGCCGCGCGGGGCCCGGTCATTAGCTCCAATCATAAAAGGGTATTAGGGTAGGTACAAAATTTCCTCACTCTAGCATTTTCTTGTCTCGACCTTGTGCCAAGGAAGGTGGAATTGTGTGAAATGGCTTGGAATCATGACATGGAATCTCAAAGCAACAATGTGGTAGTAAAGGTGCAAGTGGGAGAATTATTTGTCTTAATGGATTAGAGCATCTGAATAATGACTTTGAACCTATGCTCAATCCTTGGTGTTGATGCATGATACCCACACAAGGAAGATTCATAGCATGCATACCTACATGAGCTTGTCTTTTTTGTTATCACCATTCATAGCATGATGGTGATTGTGGATCCTGATGTAGTATTTATCTTATCTCATAAATGTAAGATAAAAAGTATCAATAGCATGAAGAAGACATCCCACTAGATATAATTTTAGCCACCAAAGCCCACTAGAGGGATGTGTTGAGTGACACATTATCCAACTAAAGAAGTCGTACGCTTTTTGTTGTTTTGTTGCTGACTGACTCTTTCTAAAATAAATACCATGGAACATTTTTAGATTCATCAACTTATAATATTGTTGGCATTCTTCTGAAATATAAGATTCCATCCTATTGTAAAGAGAAATACTTTGATGTTTTCACCAACATAAATCCACTATAGTAAGGATCATAAAAGCATATGAGACACAAGCATAAACAAATTAGGGGGATTAGTGCTCCCCCACTTGACATCCCTCCTAAGCTTTATCTGTTTGGTAGGATTCAGCATAAGCCACAATCCACCTAATTTATTAGCCAGAAAAAGCCATTTGATAGAATAAAACAAAAAGGAATTGATTCCACCTCAGAATGTCACCTAATTTATCTCCAAATCAAGTTTAATCTTTATCATAGGAGATGCCTTATTTTTCTAACCAAGAGAATGAGTCATCTCTCTATAGTCAAAACATTATCAGATATGCTTTGGTCATGCACAAGAGCTGCTTGTTCTTTCTCTTTAAGCTTCAGGGAGAAGAGGCTTTGGCCTATTAACCAAAGATTTGATGATAACATTATAAGAAATATTTATAGGATCAAAGTGATATAAGTCTGACTACATTGAATTAAAACAAAAAGTCAGCAATTTTGCTCATAAAATGAATTGAAATAAACAGAGTCTTCTTATATTCATCTCTCGCCCAAACTCCTCCATACAGGAGGACAGAGTTCCATGGAAGATGACAGACAAGTTATGGAGTTGAATCCAATTCATTTCTTCATTAGTGCTAGCAAACACATGTTTTAGATGTCCTTCCTTCCAACCATAGTTATTAAAATCGGACTGTGTCTGATCGAAAAAATCAAAAATCAACTCGACAAATCCAGTTTATGAAATGGATTATTTGTGATATATATATATATTCATCATATAACATTATGTAAATAAAGTTACTCTTTTATTTACTTTTTGATAGCATTTTAATCCTTTTAGGACAAAAAAAAGTAATGTTTAATTAAGATATGCATAACGTAATTCCTCTTCCTAATCGCTCTCTTTTCTCCATTCTCTGTTCTCTCATTAAGGTTATTTCTTATTTAATTATTCTTGTCTTGTATATGGTCTTTCAACTTCACACTCATTTTTACCTTCTCTTATCATCACACATCATATGAAACCAACCTATTTTCTTGTCAGATAACTCATTGGAGTTTAGATTTCTCCCTTTTAATTATCAAATATTTTACAAACATTTTCATAATTCTATAGATTTTATTATGGAAATATGTTTATCTTATATACATAAGTATGATTTATTTTTCGAATATTTAAGAGCGAAGTTTGACCTAACAATTCACCAGTAGTTTCACTGGATCTCCTTTTCTGAATCGATATCATGGTGTCTGCAAGACTAACGATTCATGCTCCTATCGCCATGTTTTTGTGTTTGTGTTTGTGTTTGCGTTTGTGCGGAGCACGACGACGCGGAGGCTGCCACTGAACTGGGAATCGCCCACAGTCCTTCGTCCCAGGCCGTAATGCGCAGTCACAGGGGAAAGACGACATCATGCATGATTGATCTGCTGACGGGACGTTATGATGCTCGTCGTTTACTCGCTTGGCCGACAGGAATTATCGTCTACTTGCTGGACGAGCTCCTCCCTCCTCATGCACTGCCAAACGTACGACCCTGCCACCTGTATTCTCCATTCGGATGTGGTCTAAACCTCTCTCTCCCTGTGCACCTTCTGGCATGCATTTGCAATGATTTATCTCGATCATGGATTGAAGTGATTTGCTCGGGATGCAATCTTTAGGCGTGTTTAGTGTTTGCACCAGCTAAATCATCTGGTTTTTGATGGAAGGAAACATTCCTTTCTGCTAAGAGAGATACTCTACTACTACGATAGTGATGGTACAGCGAAGTTGCAGCTAGCACTGGTGACAAATACCATCTTAGGAATTCATGTTACAGGTGAAGAGAAGTATCGACGTCTGCTTTGTTGCTCGCGGAAGAGCTTTGAGCAGCGCTTGCACGGGGCCACAAGCTCATGGACAGCGAGGTGTCGAGTGTCTGGGACTGGTGATGGAGTCGGCCGGACGCGGCGCCAGGGAACAGCCACTTGGGATGCTCGGGGGGAACGCTTGGGCTCCTGACGACGACCGACCGGTGCAGTTGTCTTTCCTCTCTCATCTCTCTAACTCTTTGCAGCTGCTTGAACCTCTCCTGCAGCAGGGCGATGGAGGAGTTGACGCCGACGGGTCCCGTGTCTTCCCTCCCCATGGAAGCAGGCAGCTCCAGGCTGAGTAGGTGAGTGGGAGTGGTGTGTTAGCTCGAAGGTAGCAGTGAAGTGTTGGATTTATAGGGAATGATTCCTGTGTTGTTGCATTAATTTTCACGCATATTGGTGCCCTCTAATTGATCCAGGATGATGCACGGCGAGTAGGAGGAGAATCTATGGTGGAAGGCAAAGTCCAAGTGCTAAAGGGTGTGAAGGTTGCCTCAGGAGTTGTTTGGTGAATGGGAGCAGGGCCAAAGCCACTTTTTAAAGGGAGATAGGGGTGAGGGAGTAGACCAAGGAAGCATGGAGGTATGCATTTGGAAGGGAGTTTTGAGAAGAATAAGATTATGTGACTGGTTTGTCCTCTATCACTTGCCCAGATTGCAATCTCTTAATCACCTCCTGTTGTTCTATTTTATGGGGGGGCTTTGGAAGACAGCCTTTCCAGGTTCCTTCCATCTCTTCCAATTCTTGGGTAATCTATTCATGCATGCTTTTGACTACAGAAGCAAAAGCATTATTAACTTGGATTTAATGGATTGCATGTATCGTCCCAGCAGAAGGCTGTGCTGCTGCTGTAGTTTCAATCTCTTACGTCTGCAACTTTCTACTTTGTCGTGAGTCATTTGGATGGGAAGGGACTTCTGCTGGTCTGAAGGCAGTGACACTTATGCTGCTGGTGCTGTTCTCTTGTCATGCTTCGTTTTCCTTCTTGGAGTGATACTGCCATCTCCACATCACCATCCTTTTCCGCTTGTTCTGTGAAGTAGCCTTCAATGGTCCTATAGTTCCATTTGCAGTGGCATCAATGTTAAAGATGTGGAGTATCTTCTCTAGAATGATGGATTGAGAGCAAGCAACTAAGTGCATGATGATATGTAAATAGATCGCACCAACCTCATCTAGTTTTTGGCTTAAGATTATACCATACAACACTATGTTTTTGGCAATTTCAGAGAAGCTTAATCTCAGTGAAGAAGATGTTTCACAGTAATTTGTTTCTCATTATTCTTTTTCTGTGGATTCCACATCTATCTCTGCCTAAAATCTGTTCCAAGACATATCTATTGTACATCCAATTTGTACCTATCTTGATTTGTATATTTCAACAATCTTAATATAGTCTGTTTCGACATAAAAATCCATGATTTGTTTCCTTGAATTCAGGTTATGCTAAATCTTGAACTGTTTGTTTTTCTTATACCACATATTGCACTAATGTACAGTCTCTTATAAATCATAGAATATAACCCAGTGCTTGAGCAGAATCAGAAGGTTTCCAGCATCAGTCGACCAATTTCTCATCTCCGCTCATAAATGATTGAGATCCACAAAAGCCATGAAGAGTTCACCTTTCCTTTTCTTGTGATTGCTTATGCTACTGGATCATAACGATTCCTTGTATGCACACAGATAAGATTCAGCTCTGCTATTCCGATTTCATAACCTTCCATCTCCAGAAGAACCTACAATCAAGTGAGCAAGGTATGTCCTTGTGTTTCCTATTCATAATGACATGTAAATGCCACTAAGCACACACCAGAGATAGATGTTAACAAGAACTAAAGAAACGAGTAAACAGCCAATTGATGCAATGATGACATGATGATGAAAAGATTTTTGCTTGATTTGTCAACCACTGATGACAGCTTCTTCGTTTCAAACAGTGAAAATGGACTGATTGTCCTCTGTTTGGAGCGTTTCTCTATCATTTGGGTTTACACGACTCGAAAGATAGCTATAGAAACAGATGTTATATGAAACTGAACCTTCTGAAAGCCAGTTCATCAAGGACCAGCAGCATCTCTTTTTTGGTTGCTTGCAGACTGCAACGATTGATGAAGACATGAGTCCATACAAGGAAGGGACTTCTCTATCATTTACATGAAACTTGAAACTTCTAATAGCCAGCGCATTAAGGGCTTGCAGCAACTCTTTTGTTGTTGCTTGCAGACTGCGGCAGGTGAAGAACACATGTATTCACAGCAGAGCTTTCTCAATGGTCAAAAAGGAAAGCTATCCCCCACCCACCCAACAAAAAGGTCGCAAATCCATGGGAGACATCAAACGTCAAGCACTTATCAGTGACTTTTGACGGTGCCAAACTTTTTTGACTACGGTTTGCCGATGCTTCTTCTTCCTTTTCACATATTTCTGCATAAGACATCCGTTGCCTGAGAAGTTGTGATCCTTTTGCTTTCACCTTTTCTTTGTGAAGGTGTCACCGCTGATCAATCTGGGACAGAAGCCAAGAATTTGCTTCCCTTAAAATGACCACTACTTCCTTTCTGTGAAGAGGTTAAAAATGGTTTAGATTTGCTATGATCTCCATCTTTTTGTGAGAAATGAAACGGAACCAAGTTCTGATTTCTTTTACTGGCCCATAATAAATGTTATAATGAAAACAACAGTTTGGTAGGTTTACACCACAACTAAAAAGCCTGGCTGTGATATGCTGATTTCATGTGTTGAAGAGATTGTGATATGTATATTTCTTTATCCTTTTTCTGCATCATTTACCGGGTAGGCCATTGGAGAGACTACTGTACAAACAGTAATCAGTTGGCATGCAAATGGGAGAAGGACAAACTTTTATGCTTGATCTAATCAAAGGAACACTTCCAGTTTAATCTATAGAAAAGGGAACAAATAAAAGTAAAATATTATGATCATGGCATTCATTTAGCCTGCTCAGCTCTTACTTTTCAATCTGAAGATTCTTGACACTTTAAGAGGTTAAGTTTTTATTCTGAAATATTAGAAAGGTGATAAGATCATTTAATCTCCATATTTGATTGAGGAGTGTGGGAACCAAAGGCTCATAAGTCCGCTAGATTTTTTTTACCTTCAAAGACGCATTTTGGAACTTATATGCTCCGTAAAGGACAAAATCATGCTAGTATGCCCATCACCCAAAACGGATAATTTCTCACGAGCCTACGGGCCGTACCAATGGTCGACCGATCAAATTATCCCTTATCATATTGACGTTAGAAGGAGGGCCCGAGGCATGCACCTCGGCCGAGCAAACTTGCTCCTAAGCCGTGCACCTTGGCTCCCCTATGAGAGGGAGAACTAATAAGGTCATTTAGTCCCACATTGGTTGAGTGTGGGAACCATGAGCTTATAACTCCGTTAGGTCTTTCTTACCCTTAGAGATATCTTTTGGAGTTCACATGTTCCGCAAAGGACAATCGTATGGGTACGTTCATCGCCCAAAGCCTACGGGCCACCAATGACTAACTGACCAAATCAAACTGTCCCTTATCAAAATGCTTTATAATAATCAAGATCCAAACAAGTATCTTAGAACACATGAGGTTAACGGTGAAACTTTTCCTCGTGTCTCAAATCTCTTTATATATATACCACTTATATCATAAATAAGTGATACATTAACTTGATATGCTTGAACTACTAATCTAAAATACTTAAACCAACTTCGTAGAAAACCTAATACAGCCTTATAAATCAAAGTAACTATCCTATCCTATCATATTAGATGTGCCATTGTCCCACCTTGGATCGACTGTTATATGTTACCAATCCCATTCACTACCTATTCATCTTTATTATCCACATAGGCATACATTTCTACTACTTGTACTACATTTAAAACTTTCTTGGATGCTAGTATAAGCTCAACAAGATAAGATCCACTTTGATAAGCAATGAGATGGGCAAGTGAATAGATTTAACTGCGGAAACATGTTGAACTAGCCTGCCTTATCATGTATTCTACCTTAAAATCAAGTGGCTGGGATTGTCATAATCATTAGCCAAACAGCCATGTATTGAACAAAGTGCCATTTCTGAGGTACATTTCTCACATAATACTGAGGGTATGTAGGAAGTTACAAATTTAAATCCCCATAATTATAGTCATACATCATAAGCTTTCAACATAAAAAGAAGATATGTGTAGCCACCATCATTAATCCGCATTATATTACAGTACTCATCATCTTGTAAATGATTGATTCTATAAGACAACTCTTAAGAACCACTATCAACTCTAAAACTAAAATACAGAGTCAATAATAATGGAAAGACTAGATACACTAGGATGTCAAACATACGTGACACCAAACACACACAAAATGCCTCAAAGTTTACATTATCATCCCAATCAATCAGTGAAAACACTCATGCGGATTGTCGCGAGAATAGCATTATCTATTTTACTTCCATCTTTGTTGATTGCTGACCAGGAGGACTGGCTTCACATTATAATTGCCAACCAGGCTGGAGATGTTGCATCAAATCCTAAACCAGAGAAACAATGACCACAAATTTGCAACCGGATATATAGATATCAAGATCTTCAAATATAGGATAACATAATCACCAACTAACATGCTGCATGCTGCTAGCCAAATTTCTGTCTATGAGAAGCAACAGCCACAGGAACCAATATATTGCTTATCATGTTTCAACCATAAGAAGCAACATCCTAAAACTCGTAATTATATATAAGCATAACAAATAATTTGTACAGACCAAAATTATATTTTAATGAAGTATATATCTTATGGTTACCAACCTAAAATACAAAATTTAAAACAAAACAAATATTTGTTTCCAATTCCTAAATGGTATTCCATATGATTTGATCAGCTTCACTGAGAGCACTGCAATATAAAGAACCAAAAGTCTCCACTTGTAAGTTGATCTAAACAAAAGGCAACTAGGCCAAGGATATGGCAGGCATATTACAAGTTCAGTGAAGAAGCAACTTCACTTTTGATATCCTAGTGGGTAAAAAGATGAGCCATAACTTGTTCCCAAACCAGACATGGGGTAGCCGCCGTAGGATGCTGGCCTGTTGTACAAACTGGAGCTAGCATGGAACTCTGATGGATAAAGATAAGACCTTGGTGAAGGTTTTCCACTCAGTTCGATGGTTCCAGGAATACTAGGGAGTGCAACATCATACAGAGCTGCAGTTGTAGTAAGGCCATAGGACCGACCCAAACCCGCATATGACGATTGCTGCTCAGTCAAACCCAAATGGGACTGATTTTGAGCACATGAAGGAAGAGGGTGAGAACGAACAGGATATGATAAAGTTGTAGATGATCGAGGCCGTTTATTGGAAGGCTGCTGCTGCTTCGAAGTTCTTGAATTCGTGGCAGTAGCAGCTGTCGCAGTTCGTTTCTTGTCTGCCTTTTGTTGCTCCAACCGAGTAATACGCTTCTGAAGATCCTCACACGAAAACTCAGATTCAAGCTTGCATTCCTCAACAGTTTTAATCACCGCTTTCGCAGCAGCAAGCTCTTTGGAAATGGCCTCATTCTGTGGCAGTTTATGCACAAAATGGAGCTATGAATGGAATCATGGACACCTTTAATCAACAACACCTACAGAGGGTAACCATGCATACCTGTAACTGACTAGAATTATTTCCTCTCTTTCGTGCTCCTTGAGCAGCCTTTCTGGATTCTCTTAGGTAGGCTTCCAAGAGAGGTACTGGAGGGTACTTGTCAAATAAGTCAAGAGCATGGACAAATTTGATAGCCTCAAGTTGTCTGCTCTTGCTGTTCAGTTTCTGAATTAGATCTGTCACAAGCAAAACGGTTGCTTGTAGGTATCAGAGACCGACAGAGCTTAACAAGCCAAAAGAAAAAAACAGTGAAAATTTCTCAAGATTTATAACCTAAAAATGACTTCCAGACACTATGTCCTCAATATCTCCATATGCTAATGGTTACAAGTAGGAAGAGTAAGGATCAACATTTACACAAAAGAGGATCAGTCTTCAGAAAAATGTTTCCAGAAACAAAATTACTGAAAAAGAAAACATGCTAAAAAATAAAATCTCAAATGTTTGATAACAATGATAGTGACTTACAAACAGGTAAAAGCTAGTAAAATGTTAAATTACTGGACTGTAATGGCTCAAATATGCAAAAGACCAAATGAAGAGAGGACCAGGACCTTCATGACCAATAAAAACCAACAAGAAGGCCCTTCACAAACCAGATCCTAGCAGCAACCTTTGATCAACCAAAAGGTATTAAGTGCTAAAAAACACAAGGGAAGAGTTCATGTTTTTACTTGTGAAGATCTTATTTGTTGGTTTAAAAATCAGGACATTACATTTGAAATATTAGGAATAATTGATCATAAGAAGTATAGCAAATTTAGAAACTGTGCTAGGTAAGCAGAGAATTATAAACTGGAACTACTGAATTAGAAGATGGTTTAATGCAGTGATTTAAAAAGGTGCTCGGGCGCTCGCCTAGGCGCTCGGGCGAGGCAAGCCGAGGCCCAAGCGCCTCGCTTCATTTCCAGGCGGCGCGCTTCAAAGAGGCGCCGCCTAGGTGCTCGCCCAAGCCCAGGCGCCGGGCGCTTTGGGCGAGCGCCTGGGTTAAACCAGGCAACCAAACCAGTGATTTAGGTCTGGTTCGATCTCCGGTGCTTTAGTTGGTTCAATCGAACCAACTAAAGCACCGATATCAGCGCGACTTCCCCAACCCTAACCCTGCTCGCCGTTCACGCTGCTCGCTGCCGCTGTCGCTGCTCGCTGCTGCTGCTGCCGCTGCCACTATTGCTGCTCACCGCTCTTGCTGCTGCTCGCTTTTACCGCTGCCGCTACCACTGTCGTCGCTCCCGCAGCCGCTGCTTGCTGTTGTCGCTGCCTCTGTCGCCGCTCCCACTCCCGCTGCTCGCTGCTACCACTGCCGCTGCCACTGTTGTCGCTCGCTATTACCACTATCGCTGCCGCTCCTGCTTTTCTCAGCACCCTCGATCTTCCCTTACACTCTTCTCTTCTCTTTCGCTTCTCCTCTTTCGAAATCGAAAGTATACTGTTAACAGTATACAGTATAACAGTATACAAGAATGGGATAAGCTATACTAGAATTTTATATTATATTTATTTATATATATATATATATTAATATTCACTGAAAAATATACAAGAATGGGATAAGCTATACTAGAATTTTATATTATACATACATATATATATATATATATATATATATATATATATTAATATTCACTGAAAAATCTTATTAAAAATCTTGAAGGAAAAAGATTGCTGCATGACCAAAAGGTGAGTCAGGTGATGACTAAACCAAGCAAAATATAACACGCAAAATATGACACATCATATTAGGACTTAAAGAGAAGAAAAATGCAAACAAGAAGAATATCCAGCATCCAAGTAGGATGAATTGCATGCTAACAGAATTCATATCAATGAAGATGGAAAAAAAAATCAAGGAACTGTTTGCACGGTAAGAAGCAATAGCTTACCGGACATATTTTGGACAAGACCGAGTCTCTTGCAAAGTTCAAGAGCCTGCTTCCTCCGTGAAATCAAAACAAAAAGATCCAGGATTTCATCCGTATTGAACTCCGAAGCCAACCTATAAGTTGCCAAGAGCTGCAAGAAAGCAAAAGCATCCATCCCTTTATCACTGTCATCCAAAATCTGACCTTTCCACTCCACCGCTACTTTCTTGGCCTGATCCTTCACAGAAGACTTTATTTCAGGTGCCAAGATCTGGACCTGCTCCAAAAGACTCAGACAAGTCCTCTTAATCACCTGCACATCCCCATCCTTCTCTCCTTCGGCTCTTGGGCGGTGAAACCCGTCCATGGCATCAAGGACCAATTTAGCTGGGTCTGGTGCGAACCGAATGGCAGCACCGAGCTCTTTCCGTATCTCGGCGATATCGTTCCGGTTCACAATGATGTACGATCTCAGTCCCACGCCATCCATGTTGACGCAGAGAGAGCTGAGCTGACGCCGGGGTACGACCTCCGGCGCAGTCTCCGGGTTGGCCTCCGCCTTCACAGAGGAGTGGGACTTGGAGTCGAGTTCGCGGAGGCGGTCACCAATGAGGCTTTCAATCGAGGCGAGATGATCCTCTAGGTCCTTCCACTTAAGGGTGAACGATGCCAGGCAGGACGAGAATGCCTGGAGGGCCTCGAAGGCCTTCCGGAGCTCCTCCTTCTTCGAGGGGATCGACGCCATGGCCGCCTCGATCTCTGCTGTCGCCATGACCTACGATACGACAACCCTAACTTAAATCTACCGAAGACGGTGTTCGAAAAGAAGAGTGACGACGACGATGACGAACGAAACCCTAATCGAAAGAGCGCCCAATCGGAAGAGGAGAGGACAGATCGGTGGGTAGGGTAAATTTATCCTACACGAACTAAACTCCGACCCGACGTGGGTTCTTGTTTTCCCAATTGAATCCAAAAACCGATAGGGTCGCTATCAACCGTTGGATTTTGATTGTACGGCTAGCCGTCCCCGATAGCACAGCTACAGAAGTAGTAAAATTCGATCTTTCCGAAAAAGTCTCTTTTTTGTTTTCAAATATACCCCTCTATTTTAGATTTTCCTAGCGCTCGTCCTTTGCCTAATATATCTTGCTTTGACCATCAGTCATATATATATATTTTTCTTCTCTTATTTTTAGATTACTTATGATACTTATACCAAATATGCTAACCAATGTAAAAAACCTCTATTTTTCATTGAATTACATTTTTTAATAATATCAAAAAAATATAAAATAGTAGAATATCATGTGCTAGGATAAAATTAGACAAGCAAAAGGAAGCTGCCAGAGAAATCCGAAAAGAGACATCTCCGAGGAAAAACAAAAAAAAAAACTGGAAAATCATCCTTAAAATTCTAAGATAAGAACATACCTCATAGGTCCTAAAATCTATCTTCGAATGTGAGAGTCTTGTCACAGATCATACCATTACTGTTCCTCGATGGGTAAACCATGAGGACAGATATTATTAATCATGTGAGATGGAATCCGATGATCCGGTCCTATTAAATTTGATGATGGATTGTTTGGGAAAACATTATGGCCTAAGGCCATATCTGTTTGATAAAGAAAAGCAACATCATATCATATTAAATCTAAGTTCTCCTGTAACATAAGTGAATAAATAACCCTAAATTGATTTAGTATCATTTTGGTTTGGTTTATTTTATCGTAATTTCTATAATCTTACGTATTACCATATGTAATCCAAGGCATATAATATCTCCTATAAATTAAGTACCATACGAAAGATAGTCTATCTATCACTGATTTGTTTAAGGTCTTATAGATGCAGATTGTGCACCCAAATAGGAACCTTTTTTATTACCTTTCACTTGTACTACTTTGTAAATGAGATTATATTTTTTTGTGTAATTATTATCTAATTTGATAATAGTTAACTGCTTAATTCCAATCGGAATTTGGACATGTTTGTATCCATACATCTTAATCATGTAAAATATTTTGATGTATAATGCATGTACAGTTTATTAGGAATGGAAGCAGATGATGTGAAGAATAGTGTATGAGATTTGATCTCAATGTTTACCTGTTGCATATATATATATACATGTTTATATTTATATACATATAATTCTTGCATAGCTTATCCCATTCTTGGTCCATGATTCTTTAATTATTTTATTAGTTGTTGCTTTGTTGCATGGCAAAAGTTCTAGGCATACTTCTTGTAGCTGTGCTCTTTGATTTTGTCCTTTTCATCAATGAAGAAATTTTTGTTAATGATTTTGTTCCTCAAGAAGATCTTTTGCCCAATATATAACAGGCATTAAATTAAACCATCTTCTAATTCAGTAGTTCCAGTTTATAATTTCTTTTCTTACATAGCACAGTTACTAAATTTGCTATGCTTCTTATGATCAATTATTCCTAATATTTCAAATGTAATGTCCTGATTTTTAAACCAACAAATAAGATCTTCACAAGTAAAAACATGAACTCTTCCCTTGTTTTTTTTAGCACTTAGTACCTTTTGGTTTATCAAAGGTTGCTGCCAGGATCTGGTTTGTGAAGGGCCTTCTTGTTGGTTTTTATTGGTCATGAAGGTCCTGGTCCTCTCTTCATTTGGTCTTTTGCATATTTGAGCCATTACAGTCCAGTAATTTAACATTTTACAAGCTTTTACTTGTTTGTAAGTCACTGTCATTGTTATCATCAAACATTTGAGATTTTATTTTATAGCATGTTTTCTTTTTCAGTAATTTTGTTTCTGGAAACATTTTTCTGAAGACTGATCCTTACTCTTCCTACTTTTAACCATCAGCATATGGAGATACTGAGAACAGTGTCTGGAAGTTATTTTTGGGGTATAAATCTTGAGAAATTTTCATTGTGCTTTTCTTTTGGCTTGTTAAGCTCTGTCGGTCTCTGATGCCTACAAGCAACCTTTTTGCTTGTGACAGATCTAATTCAGAAACTGAACAGCGAGAGCAGACAACTTGAGGCTATCAAATTTGTCCATGCTCTTGACTTATCTGACAAGTACCCTCCAGTGCCTCTCTTGGAAGCCTACCTAAGAGAATCCAGAAAGGCTTGAGAGAGGAAATAATTCTAGTCAGTCACAAGTATGCATGGTTACCCTCTGTAGGTGTTGTTGATTAAAGGTGTCCATGATTCCATTCATAGCTCCATTTTGTGCATAAACTGCTACAGAATGAGGCTATTTCCAAAGAGCTTGCTGCTGTGAAAGCGGTGATTAAAACTGTCGAGGAATGCAAGCTTGAATCTGAGTTTTCGTGTGAGGATCTTCAGAAGCGTATTACTCGGCTGGAACAACAAAAGGCAGACAAGAAACGAACTGCGAGAGCTGCTACTGCCACGAACTCAAGAACTTCGAAGCAGCAGCAGCATCCTTCCAATAAACGGCCTCGATCATCTACAACCTTATCATATCCTGTTCGTTCTCACCCTCTTCCTTCATGTGCTCAAAATCAGTCCCATTTGGGTTTGACTGAGCGGTAATCACCCTCTTCCTTACCACAACTGCAGCTCTGTATGATGCTGCACTCCCTAGTATTCCTGGAACCATCGAACCGAGTGGAAAACCTTCACCGAGGTCTTATCTTTATCCATCAGAGTTCCATGTGTTGGGCTGATGGCCCATATTCAGCCCATATGGGCTTTATCAGCCCACACCCCACACCCCCTCTTAACCTAACCCTAATTAAGATTAGGGAGGTGTGGTGGCTGCGTTTTAGAGGCAGATTAAGGCTAT